GGGCTCGCGGGGCGGCGCGGCGACCCCGCAGCACCCCCCGTCCGGGGCCAAGAGCTCGGCCACCGTGAGCCGCAACCTCAACCGCTTCTCCACCTTCGTCAAGTCCGGCGGGGAGGCCTTCGTGCTGGGCGAGGCGTCGGGCTTCGTGAAGGACGGGGACAAGCTGTGCGTGGTGCTGGGGCCCTACGGCCCCGAGTGGCAGGAGAACCCATACCCGTTCCAGTGCACCATCGACGACCCCACCAAGCAGACCAAGTTCAAGGGCATGAAGAGCTACATCTCCTACAAGCTGGTGCCCACGCACACGCAGGTGCCGGTGCACCGGCGCTACAAGCACTTCGACTGGCTGTACGCGCGCCTGGCGGAGAAGTTCCCGGTCATCTCGGTGCCTCATCTGCCCGAAAAGCAGGCCACAGGCCGCTTTGAGGAGGACTTCATCTCCAAGCGCAGGAAGGGCCTGATCTGGTGGATGAACCACATGGCCAGCCATCCGGTGCTGGCCCAGTGCGACGTTTTCCAACATTTCCTGACGTGCCCCAGCAGCACTGACGAGAAGGCCTGGAAACAGGGCAAGAGGAAGGCAGAGAAGGACGAGATGGTGGGTGCCAACTTCTTCCTGACCCTGAGCACACCTCCCGCCGCCGCCCTGGATTTACAGGAGGTGGAGAGCAAGATCGACGGCTTCAAGTGCTTCACCAAGAAGATGGATGATAGCGCTCTGCAGCTCAACCACACAGCCAACGAGTTCGCGCGCAAGCAGGTGACAGGCTTCAAGAAGGAGTATCAGAAGGTGGGCCAGTCCTTCCGCGGCCTGAGCCAAGCCTTTGAGCTGGACCAGCAGGCCTTCTCCGTGGGCCTGAACCAGGCCATCGCCTTCACCGGAGATGCCTACGACGCCATCGGCGAGCTCTTTGCCGAGCAGCCCAGGCAGGACCTGGACCCCGTCATGGACCTGTTAGCGCTGTATCAGGGGCACCTGGCCAACTTCCCGGACATCATCCACGTTCAGAAAGGTAAAGCCCGGCCTGTCGAGCAGGGGTGTGGAATGTATTGTTCAGGCTGGCAGCGATGACTTTGCCGGAGTTTCCGCTTTATTCTCCAGGTCCGGGAATCAGGCAGGGATGTGGGTGGATAGGCCTTGCCTTAGCGTGTGCAGTGGATCCTTGGGCAGGTAGCTTTCTCCTTACTGTACTTTCCAGGCAGGGAATGGAAACCATTGCAAAGTACTTTTTATGACAGTGCAATCATTTTAGAATTTGAATGGCAGGGTAATGACGTGCTCAGATCTGTAATCTTGTGACTAGGGGACAATTAGGGGACTCAGACCATATTAAGGCATCTGTGTGAACACTGCAGTGTCGCTGGTGATGGGAAATGATAGGGAAGACCGGATGTCTGCAAATAAAGGTAAACCTGCGGCTTCCACCCTCCACACCTCAATCCCTGCTGTAGTAAGATAATTAGGATCGTTTCTCTGAGCTGAAGCAGTGGAACAACTTCCTGTCTAGGCTTCTTGAATGCAGCCTTTGTTAAATAAGGTAAAAGGTCCACTGAACTTCCAGGAGCCTCATTATTTTGACTTTGGGATAAGAAATAATGTTGTTTACAAGAATAGTGTAGGAAATGTGAATGCATGGTATCTGAATGTTGGGTCTGAGAGCAGTTTCTGTTACCCAGTTGGCTGTCCCACTGTCAAGGGTATGTTCAGTAGTTTTTAGTGTTCCCAGCTGTTGGTAAAACGCTGGAATTGCAAGTTGTTTTTTTGGTTTTTTTCTAACAAAATTAATAGCAGTAGTGTTTGACCTAGCGTTAGTCACTCATGTGCATTCTGATATAATGCTCCAGTAGACTGAGAGAGAATGAGGAGGTGAAAGTCCAGTACAGGGGATGGGGGGGGGGGTGGGGGTGGGAAGGGAGTCGGCTAATCCAGCACCCTTCTGGTGGACACTCCTTGGATAAGCAGGTCTGGCCTTTGTGTTAAGGTGGTGCTCACTACCTTTCCAAGTGGGCCAGTCCACTTATGAAGATCCCTGGTCCTTGACTTGTTCTTTCTTGTATTGAACTGAAATGTGTCCCTTCATTGTCTTTCCACTCCTTGGAACCACACGAAATAAATCTGTTCCTGGACATGTCAGGCCTTCAGACGTTTGGAGCCAACAGTCTCATTTTCACTTCCTTCCTCTCTGCTTCCATCCTCCTTCCAAGAGTGACTGGGTGTCTAACTCTTAATGGGGCTGAGAGGGGCAGTGTCTCATATGTCTTGGATCTGTTCTTGCTGCTGTCAGATTGCAGTACCTGAACATCTACAGGACTAATTGTGGTAGAGAATAGTAATTTGGCAATCTACAATTCATAGATGCATGCCAAGATTGAATTAGCTTTTTGAGCATTAATATTGCTGCTGGCCTGTATTAAACTTTCATCTACATTCCTTACGGTTGTTTTTTTTACTTTTTCACAAGAGGTATGAATCCTTTACTTTTTGGCTGGTACAGTGAAACTGACTTTTTGAGTTTCTAAGGTGGAGTCTTAACATTTAAATTTCCTTGTATTACGTCATTCTGGACCCATGCAGGCTGCCTGTTTACATATTTCTTTGAGTTTATGCAAATTGTTAGTAAATAGTTGAAAGAGGGCAGAACCAAATGTAGTCACCTGCAGCCCCATGCAGAAGAGCTATCTACTTCAGGTGGTATCAGTTTATTCACTGTTTATTTTTTAAAATGTGATATTTACTTATTTTATTAAACTTACTCCACCATCTTTTTTTCATTATTAGTACATGTTTGCAGTACATAATACTCACATTCCTTGTGTGGAGTTGCTTCATTACATAACACACTCCTATTCCTTTTTTTCATCCCCTTTCCCTCCCTTTCCTCTTCCCCTACCCTGCATCTCTTGATCCCTCTCCTACTAGAAAAAGATCTCTCTCCCAACTTCCTATTATTGCCATTCATGCCTGCTACTCAACATTTGTCTAGTGCCCTGCTGTTGTGTCAGAAAAGATACGGTGTTTATCCCAAGGACTTACAGTTCACTAAGCCTTAAATCATACATTTCATTTTTTAATCCTAGAAGGAGAATTGTCTCCGGTTGTTTGGGATTTGAAAAACCTTCATTTACATTATTAATACCAGTGTCATTTTATGTAGTTTGGACAGATTCAAGGACACTAAACATGATCTTCAGGAACTAGAACTCCTGTTGATATTCGATATAGTTTGTTTCTACTGTCGCCTTGGTGTGTAATGTACAGGGAGCCATGTCCCTAGATGGCATGTCTTTGTAATGTACTCCCATTTAAAGCTAACGTGTGTGGTACATGAGGCCAAAAGATTTGGTCACAGCCTGTATTTATGGGTGCTGGCGGCTTTTAGGAGTGCCCATGAGGTGGGTGTCATAAGCCCCAGTAAAGCTCTTTGTGCACGCTCAGGACTTGTGGGGTGTGAAGAGCAGCTTGGCTCCCCCTCCCCCAAACCTGGCTGCGCAGCTGCTATTGGACTGACTAGTTTTCAGTCTGAGCACTTGGGCGTTTGTTTACTGGCGGATTTTTTTTTCTTCTGTAAACTGTTAGAAGTACAGTCCTACCAGAAGTGTTGACTATGATTTTCGAGAAGAAGGTAGCAACAACAAGAAGGACAAATAAAAATCTATAAGCAGCTTAACCATTGTTTTGTTTGGGTCCATAGTTAATATTTCAATTTAGAGAAAATTCTTAAAATTCAACAAAAGTTCAAGATAATTATTTTACCGATCAAGGCTTCGTTGTTTAAGAGAAAAGCAGTTTTTCACTGCTTTGACATTTTATATGTTCTCATCGTAGCTAGGAGGCCTGTGCTGAGACAGAACATGATTCTAAAGTGCCTTTTAATTACTAAAGCAATTAAGGGAAGTTAGAGTTTTTTCCTTAATTCTTAGAGGAAAGGAAAGCAACATTAGGCTCCTCTGAGTCTGTTTCTTATCACGAGCCTGCTGTGGTTAGTTAGCTTTTAAAGTGCTCTAGACCCATGCTGTTTGATGCTGTATCCATGAGCCCCATGTGGTACCTTAAAATTCAATAGGATGAAAACTTCAGTTCCTCACTCACACTGGCCATATAGCAAGTGCTGAAATAGCTAGTGGCAAGCGTGTTGGACAGCAGAGGCGAGGGACACCTCTGTTGTTGCTCAGAGTTGTGTTGGACAGCACTGCTTCAGACAGTTGGCTGTAGTTCGTTCAGGTTCAGTTTAGGTTTCTCCAGCAAACAGGATGTCTTTCATTGTACATTCCTGGTCGTCTCACAGCATCGCTTCTCTCCGGTATAGACTTACTTAGTAAAAACGGGTGGGCTCGGGGGAGCACTTTCTTCTGGATCCCTGGTTGCACAACTTCCTGGGCACTTGCCACAGGAGAGCAGGTCCTCAGTGCAAGTGTGCCCATCTTTTTGTGGCACTCTTGTCTCAGAAAACACACTGATCTGTGGTAGACTTCTGAGGCCATCCTGGTGGGGACCCAGTGACACAACTAAGGTGGGAAACCCAGGTACTCTTAATGTGGTGGGCTGGCTTTTTCTGGCTCTACTCAATACTGAAACCATCGTTCACGTGAACAAAGGGTTAGTTCAGCACTCAACGAAAGTAAGGAAAGCCATATGGTTCCTTCAGTGAAAAGAGAATTCTAGAATTCTATTTTTGGGTGCTGTGCCTCTGAGCTATATCCCTGGTCCTAGAATTCTATTTTTTTTAAACCAACTAATGGAGTCCTAGATAAGCAGGCCTGTTTAGATTAATGGAGTAGAGTGGGGAAGAAAGTTTTTTGCTATAGTCTGCAGTACATTAGAAGAGAATTCAAAATTTATTTCAATTTTTATTTGTAGTTTGCTTTGACCTAATTGGAGTTCCTTAAAATTTTTTATTTCTAGGTAGCTCATTGATCTGGGAGTATGCAGTATGCACAGGTCTGTCACTGATCTGGAAGCCCTATGGTTTTGATTTTCTTTTATTGAAATGGTAGCATTTTCTCTTTTTGGTTTTTATTACCATGGCCTACAGTGTGTCTTTATAATGCTGTTGCTTGTGAGTTTGGCGTAATATATAGAGTATATTTCACTGTCAGTTTCATAGGGTATTCAGTTTTGTTTCCAAAGATATGATTAGTTTCTAAAATTTAGTAAAGCTAAATCTGGATGGCAACCAATTATTATGGTTTAAAAGCTTTACATCTCTTTCTTGAGGAATATTGCAAAGGGGAAAGACCGTAAAAGTTAGTTTATGAGAAATAATTGTTTTCATCCGTGTTTACAAATATAGGCTAGATGACTGCAGTGAGTCGCCTGAAGTCAAATTGCTTTATTCCAAAGTAAAGGTATACAGGCATGTTGACTGATTTGTTGGTAATGCCTGCCTACTTTAAGCCTTGTTGAGCAGGGCAGCAGGACTAGGTAATTAAACAGGCAGTTCTGTTTTCTGTACTCGTAAGTTAAGCATGCCAAATCTATTTCTTTGGTCTCTGAATATTCCAGATGGAGCAACTTTTCAGCAAAAAAGTAGCCCTAGGGCCTCAGGAATGGAACACCCATAGTGGTCCTGTCAGTCCTGCAGGGCAGAGTTTCCCCACTGTGCTTCCTTTTACCACTAGGAACGTTGGTCTCTGGCCCTCAGACGTTCAGTAAAGATAGCCAGTGGCCCCACAGGGCACCCAAGGTAAGGCAGAGTTGCAGGGAGGCTTTCCTGTCTGCTCCCCATTCTCCTGTGGCTAAAAATAAACTTGAGCAGGAGATGCCAGAAATAAAGAGAAAAGGGCTACCCTATGCTCCAGTGTCCCTGGTCTGGCCTCCACCCCCAGCTGTTTTTTGAAGAGACTTGCCTCTGGTTGTAAACTTTGGCCATATTTGTATTTTCCCGGGTAACTTTTGAGCTTTTGAAATAGATGACTCCATTTCTTGGTTAGATGTGACTTCCGGGGACTGCCTTTGTGAGGGAGCTAGGTGGGTGCCTTGGGAGTGGTGCCTACATTTCTTTTTTGAGTCATG